CGATTATGTTTTTAAAAGAAGTACATTATCACAGCCTATTAAAGAATAAGTACAACTCATGATGTTTAACATAGCAACATTGTTTTTGTATTACTTTAGTATATTATAAGAATATGTAAACGGATTGAGATTAATGTTTTTCTAAAAAAATTTATCCAAGTGTACTTTTTCTAATATTTATATATATATGATATATGAATATTTTCTAATTGTGTTATAAATGAAAATATATAAATAAAATAGAAATAATATATTAATAATTTTTTAACAAAAGCGCAATTTTTAAAAATAAATGATGGCACAAATTAATTAAATTGTAGTAAAAACAAGATTTAATTAGTATGAACTAAAACGAATAAATTATATAAATCAAAAGAGAAAGGTAATTACATTAAAACAATTAAAATTTTTATGAATCATATATAATATATAATAAATTCATATAATATATGAAATTTATTATAGTATTATTTAAGAAATACATAAATTTCTTCACTATTTAGAAATGTTATCGTAGTGTTCTAATACTGTTCTAATTTTTAATAATATAATTGCAAAAATTTTGTAATTTTTGCATTTCAAAAAAACAGATATAATTATTCGTTTTTAAAATATTATTAAATTTTTCTTATAAAATTTTAATATAAGAAAAATATAAATCTTAATGTAACTATACTTTGTGCATACACGTACATGTAAAAAACTTTTACTAGAATATGTAATACTTCTTTGATAGCGATAATTACAGAAATTATATTCAACTCAATCATAGAAATTAATAAAATTAATAGATATTAAAAACAAATATCTTTGAAATATCTTTTTATGAATATGTTATATAATTATATGTTAGATTTCATAAATATTATATGTATCATATATTAGATTCATAGATTTTTAACTGCCACGAATAATAGAAAACTTGTATTTGCTTTTAATAAACGAAGAGCGAGTTTGATGAATTAGCGATCAGTGAATGAATAAAATATTTTTAATACAAAATTAATTAAATCCTTTGTATTTTTCAGTCTCTTTTTTATATGTAAATTTTTATTTTAAAATAAATTTTGATAATATATAAATCAAAATAATTTTTTAAATTAATTTCAAAAAAATACATCATCAATTTTAATGATATTTTAGAAATATGTTATAAAATTAAATTTATTTTATATCTTATCTGTGTAAAACATTAATTATTGTATTCATATAAATTCAAATAAAAGATACAAATTAATTATTAAATGTTTTTATCTTTAAGTAACTACATTACATAAAAAAATAATCATTGTTAATATACATTTAATAATTAATATTATATAATATAATTTATAAATATCAATATTAATTAATCAATAATATTAACACATAATGAATGTAAGATAAATTTATTTTTTGAATAATTACAACATTTAGACAGTGAATCGATACAGTGGCAATTATTATCCACAAATTTATAACAAGGAATATCCATATATTTTTAATAAGTTCCAGAAATAATTATTTCCTTGACAGTTAAAATTCACTGTTTAGTGAATAAAATTCTTTAACTGTATGATACATCTTACATAATTTTTTAACAAGACTTATTGAAAAAAAATTTTTTCTGTTTATAATGTATTATGAAGACCATGTTATAGTAAATAGCACATTATAAGATATATAAACATAATACGAAAGATCAGTTCTTGGGCGTCTTACGCTTAAACACATAAGTGGATATTTCCATTATGCTTGCAAACATCACAATATGCTCATAGTACACTCCGATATTTTTTTAAGCCAAATCGGAAAAAAGGCTAACATCTACACTTGCAATCGCATATATAAAAAAAGTAATGACTAAGCAAACATGAATATCTAGGAGAAAGATATTTTCCATATATATATATATATACATATATATATATGAAATATATATATATTACGAACTTTTCTTATTTTCAGTTAATAATTTCATTGCGATATTTTCGATAAAGAAAGAATTAAAATATATAACTTTTTAAACAATAGAATAAGAATACTTATACTATCATTATACTATGTACATATAAACATTTTTATCAGCACATTACAATGGTAAGCAACTATATCTATTGGATTGTACAATATTAAACATCTGTCTATCATCATGGACCAAATATTATTCGATTAAGAGAAACAATTAAAAACTATAATAACAAAAAATTATTGATTCCTATATTTGTATTATTTTGATTGAACGCTTTCTTTGAATAAAGTTTCAAAAAATTTAAATTTTTTTAAACTGTTTCCCTTAATCATAAATAGAATAAAAATTATTAACATCTATTAATTAATTACACTTAATGGTTGAAATATGTGTAAATATAAAGGTAGCCAAATGAATGGCTAAATTTTTAAACATAGTTCGCAAAAATTGCACAAGATTTGATTTACAACTATACAGTACATTCCATTGTATAGATTCATTATCATATGAACACATGGACACGCATCAAAGTTGTGTTGTCAATTACTATGAAGTGTAACATTTCAGACCGCGATATATAATATAATATCATAAAAAAAATTATTTTTAAAAATATAATAGTTTAACATATAATATTAAAATAAAATAAAATAAAATATTTAGAAAAATATTTGTTTAGCATAGATATTTTTGCTTAATTCGAAAATTTCACATTACTTGATTTTTAATAAAATAATACTTCATAATTATCCTTATATAAATTATAATAAAATATTATTTATAATCATATTATATAAAGACTAATAAAATAGCTACATATTATTTTTGATGATATTATTTTTATTCAATAGTATTTTAAATACTATTTTTTTATTATTATCATACGAAATATACATTTCTTTAAAATAATACATATACAAAAATTTATGTTAATTATCTGAAATACTATTTTATTTAATTATAATTTTAAATTTAATTTTATCGCGGACTGATATTTTTATAATGATAAAACAAAAAATTTTTTTTTCAATGGTGTGAATAATGTTCTACGAATGTCAGGTACAAATGTTATACTAGTAATATGTTTTCTAGTTAATGATTTTTTCTTCAAATTATATCTTCATAAATCCGATGCCCATTTATGTATCCTTGTATTATCATAGGAAACATAACTTGCCCATGAGTGTACAATAACGTTAAACTTATAAGGATAATCGTTTATCTTACATACTTTCAACAAAAACATAAGATACGAAATATGTGTAAAATGAAATAAAAATTAAATTCAGTGACGTATTTATACATGCAAATATGTCAATGTAGATTTTTATATTTTACGATACCATATATACATTAAAAGTGATCATATATATTCAATCATGTTCATTAAATTAAACACAATTGTTATCGCGACTTTAAAATCAGATTATGATATATATTTAAAAATAATTTAATATTTTAAACATAAATCCAATATTCATATAGAATATTATGATATAATTAATAATTAACATCTTATGCATTTAAATAAGTAAATATCTATTTAAAAAAAAAAAATAAAAATAAATGATATATCGAAATCTATATTAATGCTCTTAGATTCTATTTAATAAATGCTTTTCATTCAAGTGTTTATGCGAATGATTGAGCAAATACATTTTAAAATACAGTGAAAAAAGAAGTAAGGAGTGAGAGTGAGAGAGTGAGAGAGTGAGAGTGAGAGAATGAAAGAGAAGAAAAAAATATAACAGATTCTTATAAATAAGTCTGTTTTTAAAATCGCGAAAGATTTTCATTTTACGAACTTTATAATGTTAAAAAAAAAAAAAATGAAAACGCCACTGTTCATATTAATAAAACGAAAAGAAATGAAAATTAACTTAAGAGTACTGAACGCGTATATAGGTAGTCAAGTATGTAAGAGTGACATTTATTCAGGATTGTACATTCGCTAAACGCGTTGGAGTAGTCGGTTGTAAATCCATTGTACGACATACCCAACCAGCAATATCTACATTTTCAGATTCAGCTTTTTTAATCCATTCATGATTCTAAGAATTAAAGATGCATTGCAATTTAAAAAGTAAAATAATAATTATTTAATTTAAATGAACAATCATATAAAATAAATTACATACCATTAATGTTTTTAAATCTGCCCTTTCAGCAGGATTTTTTTTCAAGCAACGATCCACAAAATCTGTAAAAGCATCGCTAAAGATACCAGCAGGCAATTTCGGTGGTGGTTCATTCACGATATAATCCAACAACTCGAATATAGCCATCGGTCTTGGACTACCCGTATCTATATAAAAATAATTTTATTATAATCTTAATATTTATGGGATATTAAAAAACAAATAAGTTTAATAAAATATTTCATATAAATTTAAATATAAACAAGATATAAATATAAAAAGATATAAAAATGAAAAAAAAGAAATAAATCAACTAACTATGTCCTGGGGATTGCGTTGGAGTAGAAGCATTATTTGCTGCACTTTCTGCAGGTGGTTGACCTGTCGGAGTATTAAATATTGCAGCTAAAGTTTTTTCATCTGGAGGTGGAATTGGATACATTCCAATTGCCATTTCCACAAGTGATAATCCTAGAGACCAAATATCACTTTGAACAGAATAATGTGTACCTTGAAGTCTTTCTGGCTAAAAAATGAAATAATTTATAATATATTATCTCTTACATATATTAAAATTAAAAATAATATATATAATGATATATATATATATATATAATACAATTATATATATATATATAATACAATTATAATTATAATTCCTACCGACATATAACTTCTCGTTCCAACAAATGAATTAGCCATAGAATCGATTAATTGTCCGGAAACACCAAAATCACAAATTTTTATTTCTCCAGCGCTATTTACTAAGATATTGCTTGGTTTTACATCTCGATGCATAATTGCATGTTTATCTCGCAAATAGCTTAAACCTTTCAAAACCTATGACAACATTACATGAATCAATTGAATATTGTTTAAAGTTTTTTTATAAATTACAATTAAAAAAACATATATAAAATCCGAAATTTCTTTCATATAATCGAAAAATCGAACAAGAAGGCCATGAAAATAATTGAACTCTGAAAGAAGCAGTCTTTTTAATATTTTATATCTATATTCGAATTTGTGTTACATCTATGTATGTGAAGCTAATATATTTAAAAATGATCAAAATATTATCTAAAATAGCGCAAAAACTGACTATTACTTCAAACGAGAAAAAACTTACTGAAAGCGAATTGAAAGCTCTTCAAGAAGAATTACATACTCTTGATCATATGATACCTTTGGAAGAGTTATGCCAGAAATTAAATACTCATACACAGTATGGTTTAACTGAAGAAGAAGCGGACAGACTTTATCGTGAGGTGGGACCAAACGCTCTAACACCACCAAAAGTACTTCCAGAATATATCAAGTTTATAAAATGTATGTTTCATGGATTCGCTAGTTTATTATGGGCTTGTGCATTATTGTGTTTCGTTTTATGTGGAGTTAGTTTATTAACAGAAGGTGTAACTGGTGGCTCAGAATGGTTAGGATTTATTATTACTTTAATCTGTTTATTTTCTGGTATTGCTGCATATGTACAAGAAACTAAGACTACAAAGGTAAACAAATCATTATCATATTAAAATCAATGTATGTTTATACATACATATCCTTCAATATACATATCCTTTTTTATATATTTTACAGGTAATGCAATCATTCAAAAAAATGGTACCGACTTTTGCAACAGTAATACGTGGAAATACTAAAATTCGTTTACCAACTGAAAATTTAGTCCCAGGTGATTTAGTGGAAATTAAAATTGGCGACAAAATACCAGCTGATATTAGAATCATCGATTGTCATGAACTTAGAGTTGAAGTTTCAAGTATCACTGGAGAAAGTGAACCAGTACTTCGTTCAGATAGTCCTACCGATGAAAATCCCTTAGAATCTGCCAATATGGCTTTCTTTTCTAGCTTTGCTGTTTCTGGGAATGGAATCGGAATAGTAATAGCTACTGGTGATCAAACAATGATTGGTCGCCTTGCTGGCCTCACGGCACAGCTTGAAAAAGTTGAAACACCAATAGCTAAAGAGATCAGACACTTTGTTCAAATAATTATTACTATTGCAATATTATCTGGAGTGTTATTTTTTGGATTATCGTTAATGATTGACTCTAATTTAATAAGAGCAGCTACTTATTTACTTGGCATTGTAATAGCCAATGTACCAGAAGTTTTATTAGTAACTGTTACCACTTGCTTGACGCTAACAGCTCAAAAAATGGCGAATAAGAATTGTTTAATTAAGAATTTAGAAGCAGTGGAGACTTTAGGATCAACCTCTACTATTTGTTCAGATAAGACTGGGACTCTAACGCAGAATAAGATGACTGTATCTAATTTATGGGTTGGTCACACAAGATATAATTTTCCACCAGATCGAAGATTAGGTCTTGAAAGAACTTTGATAATAGAAAAATCAGATTTCCAAAGGCTGCTTAAAAGCGCCACTCTTTGCTTGCGTGCAGAATTTATCACGGAAGCCGTTTTATTGAAACCTATTGAAGAACGAGAAGTAATTGGTGATGCTTCGGAAACAGCTATTCTCAGATTCTGTGAACACTTACATTCAACGGAAGAATTTCGACATATGCATCCAAGAGTTGCAGAGATACCATTCAGTTCAGCAACCAAGTTTTATATGTCAATACACAAAGTTCATGATGGATATCTTATGATTTTGAAAGGTGCTCCAGAAGTAATATTAGACAAATGTAAAACAATATTGACTGCGGAAGGGGATACAAAAAATATGACACCGCATGATCATGCATTATGTCGTAAAGCTTGTTCAGAATTCGGTTATCTTGGAGAACGTGTATTAGCCTATTGTGATCTTCATTTACCTCATGATACTTATGGTCCAGATTATAAGTTTAATACTGAATCTCCAAAAGACTACAATTTTCCTACGAAAAATTATAGATTTGTCGGATTAATAAGTCTTATAGATCCACCACGGCCAGCTGTACCTGACGCTGTAGGAAAATGTCGAACAGCTGGTATTAAAGTAATCATGGTAACAGGTGACCATCCTGTAACTGCGATGGCTATAGCAAAAAAAGTCGGTATAATAAGCGAAGGACACATAATCGCTTTTGAGCGAGAAGTATTGGAAGGTGAAGCAAAAGCTGAACTAAAAAAAACAATTTCTGTAATAAGTGAACTAGGTAAATTAGATGGCAATAGACGTGCTATTATTGTTACTGGTATTGAATTGAGAAACATGGACAGCAAACAATTGGATGAAGTTATAAAGAACAATGATGAAATTGTTTTTGCAAGAACATCTCCGCAACAAAAGCTACTCATTGTAGAAAGTTGCCAGAGATTGGGTGAAATCGTTGCGGTGACTGGTGATGGCGTAAATGATTCGCCAGCATTGAGAAAAGCAGATATAGGAGTGGCCATGGGTATTAGTGGTTCTGATGTGGCAAAGGATGCAGCTGATATGATCCTGATGGATGATAATTTTGCATCGATAGTAACTGGAATTGAAGAAGGTAGACTGATATTTGATAATCTTAAAAAATCTATTGTTTATACTTTAACATCTACTGTGCCTGAAATGTTGCCAATGTTAAGTAGTATTTTATTTGCTATTCCTTTGCCCCTTATTCTTGAAATGATTCTTTGTATAGATATTGGAACAGATTTACTTCCAGCGATAGCATTAGCATATGAAAAACCAGAATCCGATATAATGCAACGGGCACCAAGAAATCCACAATATGATAGGCTTGTAAACAAACGTTTAATATCATTAGCTTATGGTCAGATTGGAATGACTCAGTCTATGGCTGGTTTTTTTACTTATTTTTTAATATTGATGTTAAATGGATTTCTACCCGATCGTTTATGTGGATTGAGATTTGAATGGGAGGATAAATCGATTAACGATTTACAAGATTCTTATGGTCAAACATGGACTTATGATACTAGAATGGATTTATTAAATGAAGCTCGTACTGGATATTTTTTATCTATTGTTATAACTCAAATGATAGATTTAATAATGTGTAAAACAAGAGTTAATTCAATTTTACAACAAGGAATGGATAATTGGTTTTTAAATTTTTCCTTTATTTTTGAAATAGTCTTAACTGGTATTTTATTGTACGTGCCAGAAACTGAAAAAATACTCAAAATCATGCCATTGAGTTCTTACTGGTACTGGCCATGTTTACCACTTGGTGCATTTCTTTGGATATATGATGAACTAAGAAGATTATGTATTCGTAAATATCATCGTGGAATTATATATCAGGAAACTTATTACTGAATAATTTATTTATATTTAAATTTTATGACTAATGTTTAATGAAATTAATTAATGAAAATGCTTTTAAATATTAATTATAATAATAATATAATTATAATAAATATAAAAATATAAATTTTAAGCAAATTAGAATAAAGTAACAAAGATTATGAATTTATAGAAGTAATTATTTAATATACTTACTGCTGATGTAATTGTGCTTAGTATAGGTTCTGGAATTCTTCCAGCTTTTTTCAATATTAAATCTAATGAACCACCATCCATATATTCCATACATATACTAATTTCTCCATCACTGTAATAAATAGATATTTTATATCTAATGTAAACATTAATTTTTATAGGTAATTATTATTTTATGTTAAATAAAATGTATATACCTATAAAAAGCACCATAAAATCCAACTATATGTGCAAAATTGCACTCATGAAGTACTTTTAATTCTCTGATTATTTGTTTTTTAATTGCAGGTTTAACTTCTAAATGTATTAACTAAAAAGTTTTAATTATTATTATATCATTTCAATGTATTAATTTGTATTAATATATTAATTCAAGTTAAAGTAAAAAATTAATATGAGCAATACCTTTCTTGCCATTATTAGTCCATATTTTTTATGTCTCACTTTCATAACAACACCACCATTACCAGCACCAAGTTCACCAAGTTTCTCAAAATCTTCATCACATAATTCTCCAACTTTTTCTTTTTGACCTAAAAAACTTTCTAATCTTTTTCTTTGCTCTTCATCCATTTCTAATTCTTCTAACCTTTCTTGAATAGCATCTATACTCATTTTTCCCATTACTCCACTATGATAAAATAAATAGAAATTAATATATATAATAAATTTTTCATTTTAAATAATGTAGATTTTAAATAAAAAAATTAATTACTCTGGTATTACTGGTGGTTCAGAATAAATAGGTAACGATGGTACTGGTGGTGATGGTGATACAGCTGGAACTGGTTCTATTGAACCAGGAGGTAGTGTCAAATTTAACTTGTTTTTTGACATTTGGATTATAAAACTAAACAATCACTATAATACACAATTTTTACACAAATATGTTGTTTATTAATAATATTTTTTAAAATTAGATAATATCTATTTAATCAATTGAAAATTTATTTAATTGAAAATATTTTTATAATCGTATACGTTTAATTTACAATAAATGTATTATCATTAAAACCATTCTCATTATGAATTTCATTCGAAAATTTAGGAAGTAGTCCTAATTTAATGTTGTTAAAAATGGACTATTAAGTTTCAAATTTTTCGTTAAAATACACTTTTTGTTAAATCACGAAAAAACATAAACTTTATTCTGAGTAATTGTTAATTTAATAACAGCAATCATGAAATGGCACAAATATGCATTTTCTTACAAATATTGTACAAATAAGAAGAGGTTATACGAATCTTCCCGGGACAACGACAAACATATATAATATAATGTTCTAAATATCCCTAGAATTAAATTTTCTAAAAATTTCATTAATTTAACATATTACAATGATATTTTAATTATAAGACAATTCTTCTTAATATTATCAAATTTTTATCATTTTATTTGATTAATATTATATCAAAAATAATTAATCATTAATTATAAATAATAAATAAATCTAATATATCTAATTATGTATTACAAACATGTATGATTCATATTTAAAGTTTAAAATTAAATATTTTTGATTTTAAAAAATTATTAAAATACACACATATAATAATTATTCAAGCTAATTTAATATTTTTATAAATAATTAAAAATGAAATTATATATTAAATTATAATAATTATATATTATAATAATTATATATTATAGTTCAAAATTTACATTCATATAGATTTAACTAAATATAATAAAATAAATGTTATGTATAGTTCTTTTAATGGTAGAAGATGGTACTCCATATCTTACAGGAAGTCTAGGTATATGTATGACGTTTTTTCCTTCAAAATCGTGCTCTTAAAAGGTATGTATGATCTGCATTATATCAATTTTTGAATCTGCTTACATCTACACTTTTGTATTAATAAATTTCTTATAATAATGTAATTTTTAAAAATATGATATTAAGCAGTTATTTTATAAAAAAAATGTGAAGTGAATATTTTATAATCAATAATTATTGAATTTCAAAATATGTAGTGGCAGGTTAAGTCGCGACACCTATATTGTAAAATGCCGATATGAAAGATTGTCATCAAATTTCTGTAATTCTAGAACAAAATGGGTCGTTATTCTCATGAGCCGGTAAATGCAAGCAAATCGTGCAAAGCACGAGGATCTAATCTGCGAGTACATTTTAAGGTAAACAAAAAACTATTTTGGAACACTTAACCTTAATTAATAAAATTGTATTTATAAAATGTAAGGATTTAATGATATATTATATTTAATAGTTTATAATCTTATAATTATTATTCTACTTTTTAGAATACACATGAAACAGCACGTGCCATTAAAAACATGTCTTTGCGAAGAGCACAAAAATATTTGAAAAATGTAATTGAACATAAAGAATGTGTACCATTCCGTAGATTTAATGGTGGTGTTGGTAGGTGTGCTCAAGCAAAACAGTTTGGTACTACTCAAGGTAAGTAATAATAAATAATAAATAATTTTTTTTTACATTTAATAATATTTTTAACAATTAAAAAATTATTTTTATAATGACTAAATTATCTATTTTTAAATTTAGGTCGTTGGCCTAAGAAATCAGCAGAATTTTTACTTCAGTTATTGAAAAATGCTGAAAGTAATGCTGATGTTGATGGGCTAGATCTTGATCGTCTTGTAATTAATCATATTCAAGTAAATCATGCTCCTTGTCTACGTAGAAGGACATATAGAGCTCATGGTCGCATTAATCGTTAGTATTTCTAACAATAATAATAATAATTTAAAATATATATTAGTAATTAGTAATATATAGTCATTTAGTAATATATACTTTAATTAAGTATATTGTATATTTTTATAATATATTTATAGCTTATATGAGTTCACCATGTCACATTGAGGTAATTTTGACTGAAAAAGAAGATTTTGTAGTAAAAAGTCCAGAAGAAGAACCATCAAAAAAGAAACTAAGTAAAAAGAAGCTTGCCAGGCAAAAGGAAAAAATGATGAGAGAATAATTTTTAATATTGAATATACCATGAAGAATAAAAATTACTCTGCTTTGTTTAATCTTTTTACATCATTTCTATCCTTTTCTATTATAAGTTATAAATTGAAATCTTGTATAATTTCTTTGTAATATAAATTTAAAATAATAATTTAAAGGAATAATGGATTTACTTTACGAAGTAAAAAATTTAATTAAATTTCTTTACTTTCTTTCATTATTACATCGTTATTTTACATTTTAAATGTCTTGTTACAATTTATGATGTCCGTATTTGGAGTACGAGTCAACGGCAAGAGATATAAAAGTACGTACCAAAAATATTACAAATATTTGAGAAATGAAATGTCTACAGTATAAATAACTGTATATTTTATATGCGTTAATAAACAAAAATTCATACATTTTTTTTAAGATTACAATTTTTTAACGAATATCTAATTTTTGAATGTATATTAAATATATATTTTTGTTTCCTTATAAAAAAAATATAATGTATGAATTAATATTTTTGTATTTTGAAAATACAAATTTTTGAAAATATCTACTATCATTTATAAATTCTAATTGTTAATACTAATTTGTTTATTCGAAATTGATATGTAAAACAGGAATGTAATGCTCAATCGCCACAATGTTGTCTAGAATGAATCGTATTATGAATTAAATGAACAAATACATGAATGCACAATTTATTATTATAAACGTGATAAGTTTTTCAATTTTATGTGTATATGACTGTACATCAATTTATTCGATCTGATGCAAGTTTTCACCGATGTCAAGAAAGTGGTTCCCGTGTTGTATTTGGTAAGAATAAACATAATAATCCTCCACCTGTATGAAAAATTAAATAGAATAAATTTTAATAATGATTAATGATATACCTATATTGTTTCTTTATCATTTAAGGATATTTCTTTTTTGTTGAAGATTCTTAATTTTGAAATATACTATATTTATTATAAAATATATAATAGTTAGTAATATAGTTATATATGTATATCATATATCATATATAGTAGTAAGATTATATATATTCAAATTACTATATATAAATAATAATTATTATTATAAAATATATAAAACATACCGATTAAAAGTGCAGCAACGATAAAAGTTGGTGCTGGACAATACATATCCAAGAGTTGAGATATTACAATGTTACCAATAATTCCACCGAGACGCGCTGCAACCATGGAAATAGCAATTCCTGTTGCGCGAAGAGGTGTCGGGAAAACTTCGGTTATTAGACAATCTAGAGCTGCATTTCCACAGCTTATCACACCGCTGAAGATAGCCGAAACGATCAGATTGTGATGCTTATTGTATACAAAATATAATCCGATCGCGCAAAATCCTGATGAAAGTGTACTAAACACTGCAAATAAAATAAAATTAAAATTATTTATTAAAGAAAATATATAAAAATATTAAACACAATTTTATAATTATTTGATTACAAAATATATTTAATTATTTAAAATGTTAAATTATATTTACGCAAGAAAAATTTACGGCCAAGACGATCCATTCCTAGAACAGCAATAATATTTGCAGGTATAGCGGATGCTACGGTAATTAACGATTCCATAAAAACGGAAGCGCCAATTTTATCGGAACAAAGATTTTTGATATTTTGAGAACCTCTTTGAACCACATATTCGGTCACTTGACATATCGAAGCGATTTCATTTGGATGATCACGATGAAATTCGTCGAAACGATTGAATAATTCGGGAAACCACATCATTAGACCGTAATAACCGATATGAAAAGTGAAATTAATAATAATTGAAATCATGGTGAAACGAAGTATAGGTGAGACGAAAAGTTGTTTGCTATTGTTTACGATATCGGCGAGCATTGTTTTGCATTTGTTCTTTTCGATGCTACTATTCGTCAATTCCGGTTCTCGGATATCATTTAAAATTAATTCTTTTACCTGAAATAAAATTCATTGAAAATTATAATTTTTTTCAATGCTTTTATAATATTTATAATAAATATTTATTTCGTTTAATATAAAAAATATTACCGTGTAACTATCACGTGATTTGCCAGTATTAATGGCATAAATTCCACGGAAGATATCGAGCGCTTCCTCGTATCTTCCGCAGGATAAGAGGTATTTAGGAGATTCAGGGAGCAACAGGAGCAGCCCCGCGACGATAAACGATGGAGCAGCGCAGATCAGCAGGAAGATTCGCCAAGAATTATACGTGAACGCTGAATATGTGATACCGATATCATGAGGGATGATCAACCACGCCAAACCTAATAATTATTTGTTATTTTTAAATAAAATATGGATTTATGATTTAATTATATTTTATATAATATAAATATTTTTAGTTAAAAAATAATTGAAGATTTACCAGCAACAAAGAGGTTTCCAAGTGTCCAAAAGGCAGCCATAAAGGACAACATTGATCCTCGCTTCGATTTTGGTTGGAATTCGGCAAAGTATGACCAAATCACAGGTCCGCTACCTCCAAGACTGTAATAATTGAGAATTTTTTTTTTAAATAATCTTTTTAAATATACGAAAAGTATTCATTATCGTCAATAGTGGCCTGTTATAAATAAATTATTATAAATTTTTAGAAAGTTATGTTTCGTTATATTCATGTGATTCATCAGTATTCCACTTTAACTCGCGTTTAAAAAATTGTTATATAATAAGTCAAAATGAGCTCGATATATTGCAAATTATTGCGCACAAATTAATTTACTTACGCAGCGCCGTTGAGAAAACGGAAGATCATAAAGAGTGCATAAGATTGGCTGAAGCTGGAGGCGACAATGCAAAGAGCATTTATGAAGGAGATGGCGATAAGAACTTTCCGTCGACCTAGGGCATCCGCGATGGAACCCCAGGCGTACGCCCCCGCCATCATACCGATGAAAATGATTGAGTTGAGCCATCCCTTGGCTTGAGTATCGAGATTCAGGTCACATTGTGCACTAGGAAGGATGAAGGACATAGAGATTACGTCCATCTCCTCACTGGTGCTAACGAAGCCGCATACCGTGAGAAGGAAGTAGTGAAATTTGCCATAGTCTGAGAATTGAAACGAAGAATAAAATAAACAATAATTAGATAGATAATAATTCATATTGAAATAACAGAAAAATGTAGGAAAAATAGAGCTAATAAAAAAATTACTGGTAAGTTCAATGGCCTTTTCGAAATCCGCTTTATCGATGGATCCTTTCTCTGGATCTAGGGTCTTGCCCTTTGTTCCAATACCTATTATAGAAAATTACGATATAGTTAAATTTGTGGAAGCTATCGATTCACGTTAATAAATATAATTTATATAGAATTTCTACCTACGAGCAAGTTCGAGATCCTTAGAGCCACAGCCGTTTAGCTGCTCGTCTTTTACATCACACTCTGAAATAATAAAGTTAAGACTAATATTTAAATATTAATTGTGTAATTAATCATACACAAATAATTTTAAAATAAAAGTTATTTTTAAATCAAAAACAAATATCGATCTCTATATATATATATATATATAAATTTTTCTATAAATAATATCTTTTTATTATTTCTAAAAATGATTAAATATTTTGAAGACTATTCTAAAAGATACGTACTATGATTGTGCTTTGAATTAAGATCACCCTCTACCATTCTACGATATCGGCGCAGTTGGGTGAATCTGGCTTGGTAATACGATTAGATGAGACTTCTTCGTGCTCGACGACAAGCTTCGATCGATATGAGATTGATATCGTTCTTGCGGATTACTGGATCTCGGCGAAGTCTTCCTGCTGAATCTGCGCTGATCTGCTGCTGCTCGTCGGCGGGGCTAGGTTCTGCGCTCACTTGTGAGCTAAAACATGACGCAAAAACTTATATATGCTTACATAAAAAAAAAAATAAGAATGTATTTTATAGTATTTTTCATTAAACAAAAATAATACCAAGGTGAGTGAAAGTAAAAAAGTCATGGTCGATTGAACATATGTACAAAGAAAATTCATAAATAGCTTCAAACGGTTAATTTACTTACAACAATTTAAACGAGATTGATTAAGATGTAAAAAATTTTAAGATTAGATAAGTTTCGAAAAAAATATAAATTTATAAAAAATAGTAAAAAATTTATAAATATACAATTTATAAAAAATCAATAGAATTTATAAAATATTTAGATTTTTATGATTATTTCAATGTTAAGAAGAAATTAATGGAAAACAATAATTTTATCAGTTAACTATTCTAATATTAAAATATCATAATATATTAAAAATTCAATAAAAATAGAAATACATATAAAAAAAATAGCTTAAAGAATTTATTTAATATATATGTTCTCTGACATTAATCATTATTTAATTATTCAACAATTATATTTCACAAAATTTTGAATGAAATCAAAAAATAATGAATCAAAAATAGATAAACTTAACTTGGATAAGATAGTTTAAAAGAGTATTTTTCGTTGTTCTAACAGAACACGATCACGTGTTTCAAATCAATATGCAGGGGTTAAGTAGGGCCAATTCGTAATTGCATTGATAATGGGCGTAGGTCGTAACGTTTTGAAAGGCAACGATTTGGAGGCTTTCCAATGATGGAGATGATAATTGAGTCTGTTTACAAGACGGCTTGCAAGCGGAACGTGATTCGCATCTTGTGAGGGTTCTATTTTTATGTTCCCTTTTAAAGGTAATAAAAATGTTATTGTAACGCTGTCATAAGAAACGAGTATTGTGTGTGAATATCAGTTAAGAACAATTGTTCAAAAGTGAAGAATAATTAAACGTATAAAAAGATATTATTAAATATTTTTGTTTTTTGTATTTACAATAATAAAAAGTTAAAAATTAAAGATTTCATAACTTTCTAGAATTTTCTTAAGCTTATTTTACATTTACTGTACGTACTATATTTGTAATAAAAAAAAAAAAAATTGTAATTTCCTGCAAAATTACACAAAGATCGACCTTGATCTAACTACACTTATTTAACATATGGAAGAAGCACACTATATATGATATACTCTAATTATTATATGTTCCCACAATTCTATACTCGATGTAACTAATAGTATCACACGTAACAGTAGATTTCCCGCACGGTTTTCTTGCTATCTTTCGACTGAATATCTCGGGAATCTTATTAAGCATAGAATATTGTCATGGATGAATAGATCAGGTTATGAATAATTTCTTAGATTATCATAACAACTTGATATTATCTACGACGAAAACAAACTAAACGAATATAAACAGAAAGAATTAAATTTATTTATATTGAAATAATATATAGAAATTACATACTGTTTTTTATTAATAATACAAATATTTTTATTTTTCTGACACATGCAATCCTTTCTTGTTTTTGATATATTTGAATATCTCTCGAAGATATTCAAAATATTTTAAATATTTTTTATTTTTTAATTTTTTTATTATTCACATAGTGAATAAATATTCACCATTATGTAATTGTATTGATTTCTGTAAGAAAAAAAGTGAGAACGAAAAAAAAATAAATCATCGACCGTGACAGGACTCGAACCTGCAATCTTCGGATCCGAAGTCCGACGCCTTATCCGTTAGGCCACACGGTCGTTGAAGGGTAGTTTTCTGAAATTAGTATTTCACTACTAAAGAAAATACCACCCCTGCTATTATTTGATACAAAATAAATTTATAATACAAATGATTTAAGATACTAATTTATGATGTTATGTCCTAAAAATAAATACTTTTTATTATAATCTATAGATGATATAAAAATTTTTATTCGTTATAATAAAGATATAAAATTAGCATTGAATAAAATATAATGAATATGTATATTTTCATATATATATATATATATTTTATATTTTACATACAAAATAAGATAAATAATATTATTATTATTTATGCTATATATAAAAATCTGATATACTTATTAGATAATAGAGAAGAAAAATAGAAAAAATGAGAAAATTTCAAGAAAATCTTTAATTCAATACCTTGACCAATCCTATTACAGACCCTGAAAGCTCAATGACATAATTGCGAGGAAGGCGTGTCGTGGCTTAATCTTGTTCTAGAAAACGACTGAATATTAGCAGACATTGACGGACATCCTGTACCAAATACTCTTTAAGTAGACGGTATCACGCGTATCAAAATCTTCTATAGACTCTTCTATATTATTTGGAAATCATGATCATCCAGGACATTTGATTTTAATAAAAATAAGACAATACTGGTGTCGAAAAGAATTTTATTGGACAATTGTTCAAAATGTTATATTATATTATTGTTTCAAGATTTCAGAAACGTATTTAAAACATTTACAAATATGTTTTCCTCGAATTGATTAAAAAATAATTCAAATAAATCTACACTGTCTGAATCTGTTATTTTTAATTTTTGGAAATTTTTGTATATGAAGATTAAATTATTGATATAAAATATTGCATAAAAATATTAAGAAAAATTAATTCTTTATATACTACTTTGTTTAATATTATTAGATTTTGTCTAATATTATTAGATATTAGTTTTATCTAATTTATGGTATGGAAATAAAAATTTAAAAATAATTTATTTAAATTATATATTTCCCATAAAATATATAATTTTTCTTAAATATAAATATCATTACTATACCAATACTATATATATGTACATATATAGTATTTTTTAAAGATACAAATAGTTTGCGTTACATCGAGGTCGTTGCACAGTACACTATAATTAACTAACATCAGTTAAACTATCAATTATTCGTTGTGTAATTGAGTTCAATGATCCATTCTAATGCAATTGCGATGTGTGATGCGCATTGCAGGTGCAACTTATGCGTGTAGTGGACTGTTGACAGAATGATGCAGAAAACCTTTTAAGAAGAGAATCTAGCACAACAATTATTCCATTCCTTTCTTGGGGATTTAAACGAAATGAATTTAAATATAGAATCAATTAAATATAGAATACAACAATGTTTGGAGAAGTAAATGTTAAGTTTTAAATCTTTTCATATTTTTAATTATATTAAGCATTTTATAAAATATGATATTTTTTGATAAAACATTTTATTTTCAATAAAGAAAATTTTTTCACACTGTTTTGAATATTGGACACTGAAGATATTTTATTGAATCGAACTTAGATTAAAATATACATATATAAGTAGAATATTATTTAATTACAGATCGATTGAATATTAGAGAGATTACAAGAAAATATAAAAAATAAACAGAAACGTAATAATAATTTTAATTAATAACAATATTTATGTAATATTATCTATACATTGACTAATATTAATAATATATGTAGATCTACGTCAAATATATTTTGTATGCAATAAATTGATTTTTTGCATTTGCAGTTTGCCTTGAAAGTTAACTTTATTTGAATAATTTGAATCAATATCTTTCAGGATGTGAAAAATTTTTTTTCTCGTAATCAGTAAAAATGTCGATTCTTGGAAAATGATCTTAGAGTTTACATTTATTACATCATGTTCAAATTAAAAGAGGAGAGCTTTGCTGAATAAATTTGTTTTTTTAATAAAATTATCGTTTTAATAAAAATTAAAAGGAAAATTTAATGTATAACAAAATTTTCAAATTTAGTAATAAAAAATTTTTTATTTGCATTATAAAAAAAATGAATCTTTCTTAAGAATCATTGTACAATTATCTTTTGTTTCATTAAAATAAATTATATTTATATTATTAATACAAAATTCTTTAACTATTCTCTAACTATCTTTATATTTATTTTTTGAATTAATATGATCTAATATATTTATATTATTTTTAAAAAATTATGTGTTATCTAAAATAATTTAAAAAAGAATAAAATTATTTATAAAATTCTTTTTTTCGTCTTTAAAATATAAATTCGATAACAGAATAGAATAGAAAGTAATCATGTTTGCCATGAACATGAATCACAAACTGTGACAATAAGAACAAATAATTATGAAGTCAGTAGTAATGTTTGAAAAACCATGATTTCAACGAAACTATTTGATGGATATTGGAATCAAATAAAATGGTTATAGAAAATACTAAAAAGAAAAACGAAAAAATGGATTGCATCATGAATGCACAATTTTTTATATTGATCGTGTTTTCTATAACTTCTGGTGTAAAATATAAATAATGTTTTTAACTCGTGTATTGTAATTTAACAAGCTGGAAAAAACATGATAATTAATGGTAAATTATACATCTTGTTCTGTTTTCAATCGTTTTTATTATCATATCTATATCTTCTAATTTTTTCTTACTATATATGTTACGAATGAATCGATTTTCTGAAGAATAGTCATAATAAATCGTAATGTAATGACAGAATAAAATGAAAGATTATATGAGATTATATGATTAAGCGTGTGAAATGTATATTTCTTAATAATGCAAATTGCGAATGAATTTTAAATACTTTTTTTGTTCTTAATTATAATCAGAAAAAAAGAGAATCATACGTCTTATAGTAATCTTTTATTGAATTAATATGATATAGTATAGTATAATATAGTATAGTAATTGAATTAAAATGATTCCATTATTAGAATGAGAAGATCTAATGAAAGTCATTAGAGAAATCTGATGAAAGTTTTCAGAAAAAATATTAATTAATTTGAATTAAAATTCAATATTATAAATGTAATTTTTTACAAAATCTAACAAAATGTAAAATCTTATAAATGTTTTTAATGTGTACAGTAATATGGATTTACATCCATTTTTTTGTTATTTAATAAATATATTCTTAATGAAGAAGCCAATTTACAAAGTTCTAAGAGTTGCAAAGAAGTACATCATTCTATCATTCATAAAAGCTTTTTGTCTGGTATTCATTGATATAT